CACTGTAACGAATAGTAATATTGTTGCATATTTACGGCCGGACCCGCAGGTCACGCGACCACCGCCCGTTTACCGAAGCCACGGAAGCGGTCTGCAATTTAAACGGTCCGAAAATCGGCTCTCGGTAATGAAATACGTCACGTAAATTGCGTACGTACACGTCGCCGCGTGATAATGTTATGCGCGTCGAACCAAAAGGACAATTTTTTCGTTCGTCTTCTTTTTGCACGCGCGCGTTTCCCATCCGATCCCGCACCGATGACGTCGTATACGTCTCAGCACGTTGATCGAGCACTTCCCCACTGTCTTGCGTTCATTCGTACGTCTACCGGTGGCGTATAAATACTTTCCGCGCGTCCGGTCGGACTAAATTTTATGCACGTACGACACGTACGAACTGATCGTTTCTAGCAATCTTATTTGCTTGGAACGATTGGTACGAAAACACTGAAATAGGTGTTCCGTACCTAACGGGGGTGAACGGGACGGTCGACAAATAACAGTTCAATTTTCACCACGTGAAAACTAATTCGACGACACCAAGCCGTTTTTTTATTATTACAACGGGATACGATTCGCAGCAGTTCGTTCGCGCCACGTGCACTAGACGAACCAAATGTCAGTCGTATACGTACATTTTCCATACTCACTACCATAGACAGAGACTCACGAAAGGAGGAGCAGTATGCGTGTGTGTGTGTGGGGGGGGTCAATGTCTCCCCTGATATTTTTCGTGTCGGTTACGAAATGAGAAGTTTTTTTTAGCATTACGATAATTTTCAATAGCCGAGTCACTTACCGTTTCCTACCGGTCGTCTGTAAACGTGGCACGATTCAAAGTAATAAAAAATATTCACCCTAACTTGTTGTTGAAAAATCTGTGAGTACACGAGTAACTTTTTAAAGTTAAATAAAATGAAAACACATTAACTTAAATTTGGTTCGATTTTATAATATTGCTTACTAACGATTATTATGAAATATGGGTGGATTAATGCAGCAGTAAACCTTCCCATGGCTAATATTCATTTGACATCTTGTAATCTCTCTAAGCTACGTTTTCGCGGGCGTCCTTAACCATAAACATTACAAACGCGCGTTCGTAAAAAGTACATTTGCAGGATTCCGTGAAGAAGATATTATGATGTACATTCAGAGTGTACCGCGATCGTTTTGATATGTCGATTCTGATCATCCCATTTTCCTGACCATCAGGATCGCTTGTCGAAGGTTTAAAAGCCAAGATTTTAACGTCAGTTCTTCTCGTGACACTATACGTGAACGTATACATGTGACGGTCGGCGTTTACCTCGTTCGTTCTTGTCACACCAAACACACACACACACACACACACACACACACACACACACACGAATATACCAATATAAACATGTGTGCATGCATACCACAATTTATAATATTTATGCACGTGTACCGTAAAAATGTGTATAGTTCTTAACGTATCGATGTAATTGTATAAAAATACATAGACATATTCCTATTATGTCTCGCTATGAGTGCTGCAACTTAAAATAATAAATATTCGGTTATACGTATTTGTGTGCGTACATTAACTATGCGACAAAAAAGTATTTATAAATATATATTTTTTTCTAGTGCATAAATAAAATAATAATAACAATAACTATTTGTGAGAATAAACAAATTTTCCTCGTAAGATATATCCTATATAATGTGCTATTAATTATCGTTAAGGATGGGATTTTGATGCCGTTAAAAAACCTCTAAAACTTTCATTAAAAAAATTCAAAAATAACTTGAAAACTTTAAAAATGTTTTAGAAGATAATCTAAAATAAATTAAAAACTAAATTAAAAAAAAAGTATTCACACGGCGGTTACATCTACAAAAAATATTTGGAGAACGTCGTCTGGAACCAACGCAATCGATGCTATACCGTGGAACGTACGTAGAAAGCCCGATTTTCCAACCCTGTGTCACGATCCATTGTTTTTTTTTTTTTTAAAACATTGACAATATCACGATTATTTTTTGTATTTATTCCATTCCATAGTGCTGCGATAAATATTGTTAAATTTATTGATATTATTGATAAATATCTTGTTTAGGACAGCCCGAGCACCAGTTAACAAATAGTAACTTTCTTAGTATTCGTAAAAACGGATCGTCCAGACTTAGGACGGATGAGTAAACTTAGCATGGCTTAAATCAAAATAATATATATTGTTTACTGTTATTGGACATTTAAACGTTATTCAATTTAAACGTTTATACAATATTCTGTTCACCGTTATTGACAATTAATATATTGTGAAAAATTATAATTTAACGTTTAGCGTTTTGCGTTATTTAAATTAGTGTAAAATTTGAAACGTTTTCAAATGTAGTATTTAGCGATCAATACTATATAAAATAACATTAGATATTTTAAATATAATATTATATATATATTACCTTTAATGATATTTTCTCCTTGTGATTCTCATAACTCATAACTTATAAATGAAGCAATTATATTTGTTTTACAACAACAATAAATGCACATAGGTACCATGTAAAATATGTATTTATTGTCAATTCATAACTTATGTTCGGTGTATTAATAATGTTTCATCGGTGTTCATCAAAATTATTTTTGATGAGGCAGGTCATACAGGTTTCGCGACAACAATGTCCGACGTAATTTCGGAAAGCATATTTATAAATAAACATTACCATAAACATAAGTTATCAATTATTGATAAATTTATTGTTGTTTTAAATATTCTTTTATATTTATTTTGTTTAGATTGCCCAGTAATAATTACTTAATTTATTTAAGTCAGTCTTACGAAAATAACTATGTTCCAAATCTATATTACTGATAGTTATAAATATTTTTCCATGACAATTTCTTTTATGTTTCAATCGGTAATTGTTTTCTGTTACGTTATTTGATATTCATTTCAATCGTTTATCGTTTACTAATATGTTATCCGTTTTCCGTTTTCATCGTTTATCGTTTTTCGATATGTTATTTGTTATCAATTTCAATCATTTTTTGAACAGTTTAACGTTATAAAACGTGTTGATGCCCTGAAACTTAGTGACTGCGTCGCGCAGCACTAGGGCTGGATCGGATCGCCTTCAAGAAATATTTTTCGACTTGTCCCAGATTAGCAGTAGTGGCCCATATATTTAGCGTATAGCAAAAATACCATACTGATTCGGTTGAAATATTGTGGAAATAAACTTATCACCATGTATATATGTAAAAGTGCATAAAAAAGCAAGTTTTTTCGAAAATCGTATTTTCAAGAGCCGAAAACGTTTGAGACCTGAACTGGACATACATACTCGTATTTTTTTCGCGTTTATTTGGTTGTATTTGAAATATTTTATTTAGTTTGATACGTTGATGGAGTATACCTACTATTTAAATGTATATAATACTAATAAACAAAAAGAAATATCTTTATCATATACCTTCGCTTTCTCCAGCCAAACGGTTGTATTTTTTTTTTTTACACCAAAGTAGTACTATTACTACAACATAAAATAGTAAAATATCTCCAACCTAGTAAAATATAAACGATTACTATGGCACATAATAATATTACAGATACTCATTGTTGTATTCAAGGTATAAGTGTTCTTCGAACGTTGGTATGTACACATACACGGACGTAGATCCTTGTGAGCTTCACCCCAGGTGACGCGATCCGTAGCTTATAAATGCGTATTCAAATACGCGCTATGTGTCTACGTCTCTATGGACGATTAATAATATTAATTTAACCGTCTGCAATTTTAAATTCTACACACACGTATACGTATTTTCAATGTAATATTATAATCAACACACACACACACACATATCGTTCGGTGGACAACATACGTAAAGTAAGCTGTACGAAGGGGAAACGAGTCATTGTACGAAACGAATGAACCGAAACCCTGCGCGCGACCGACATGTGTTTGATCAGGAACTCCGGTCCGAATCGAGTTCAATTGAAAATCGTGAGTGTTTATACGTATGTGTATATATGTGTTCAATGCCGAGGTAACGTTCGGAAGAAGGATAGACGCGCAAACGCATCACACGATGGATTCGTACAGGACGAGAGTATGCTCGAGTAAAAACTAAAAGGACGAGATGAGCACCAGATGTGCAGGTACATAGTTACGCTATAACACGATAGCAATGAAAACGCGTCGATTAAACTCTAAACAATAGTGTTAATTTATTATTATTATTTTTTTTTTCACATTAATTTTTATACATAACAAGAATAATAATATTTACACGGAAATCGTCATGACGATCGGAGAGCGGATCGTTTATATAATATACGTATAAATATAGTTTAAATTGTACAGTTCCTAAATATTAGGTATATTTGTACGTATATATATATATATTACACAAAACCGTTTTGAAACGGAATAATCGTTTTAAAACTGTTTAAACCATATTTATATAATATATTTATAATAATCATATTACAATAACGAAGCGTTTTCGGTAATTTTCTTTCCTATAATAATAATAATTATTTTATGAAACTGCGTACGCTAATTTTTTTTTTTTTTTTTTTGGCACGATCAAGTTTTTATTCACTTGACAATACGTGATAAAAATCTTATACAGGCAAAATACACATTCCTACGTCATACAAAGTTTAACAACACATATTGGTATGCATGTTATACGATTAACTATATTTTTATAAATGTATAATAAAATGTATATCGAATACGAATAGACTAATTGTTACATCATTGCACGACTCTAAATATAATTTATTTATTTTATTTAGTACTATGCGTATGTAGGAAATAAATTATTGATGCTTACACATATATACAATAATATCTAACTGTCGTAATATATATTTATATAGTAATTTATACAGTTATAATAATAATAATAATAATAATAATAATAATAATAATAATAATAAT